AATTATATATAAAATATATTCATTTATATAATATTTTTTTCCGGGTAAAGAAAATCTGAATTCTATTTGAATTAAATAAAAACGACTCGTTGAAATTTAAGGTACAGTATTCTAATAAAGAACTCGTTAGAAAACAAATAAAAACAGATTTAGTGTCGGCTTTTCCATTAGTTATTTTCCATTTATCATCAGCGATTATTTTTAACCAATGACATACGTCACATATTGCGACCTTAAAATATTATCATTCGAAATAACCGACTTGTAACAAACGCGCGATAAGAAAACGCGCGTGATAATAATGAAATGAACTTTTTTTCTCTTTCTAATACTATTCTTACCTAACGCGATCACAGCCGGTACTAGAATCAGCAGATATCTGAAATTAATACCGTACACTTCTTCCTGCGGGATCGCACTGTTGAATAGCTCGGCCCATAAGTAAGCAACCGCAGCTTGCGCCGCAAATCGCACTGCGGAAAACGGCGGCTGTAAAAAAAAATAATAATAAATTCGATTTCGTCATCATTAGTTTACAAAGCGTCAGCGCGGATTTGCATTTATTTTGCCAACTTCCACTTACATCCTTAATTACTGTACGTGTCAGCAAGTAAATTGCGGTTCAATATTTGTATGATTATTGTATTATGTACGTGATTATCGTATAATGTGCAACGTCATCAATTCTTCGAATAACAGCGATGCAGAACAAGTTAATGGCATCAATCGTAGTGTAAGGTTGATGTTAAGAAATATATTTCAAGACTAGCGACGTCATTGGCTAATGCTAGTCTGTGAATTCTAAACGCCGAATATTTATTTACCTTTCGATTAGCTCTGACTTTTCGTTTAAAATCCTCGATGAACCTTGCGTCGTTATTCGCATCGGCCACGTATGCAGGTATCCTATAAATGTCCCTGAGAAAACCGCAACCTATATAACCGCCGAATGTACTGATGTACACGAATGCCTGATCGTCTCTGCCGAGGTACACATGATGTGCTCCAAAGAGTCCACCGAACAACCAAAAAAAATAAGCCCAAAACTTAGTTTTAACACTTTTATACCCCGGATCATGCATATACAATCCATTTTCTTTCGCTTTTTCCATGTTATCTTCTAAAGCAACAGGTCACAAAATACCCATTTTGAATCACTATCGATTAATCGCGTGGACAATTACTTGTCCTGGTCGGAAATTTTACGAAATTCTACGCAAAGAATTACATGTCCTACTGTGTCGTCGTCATTTACACATCTTCACAGGCAAAATAAAAGTTTACATGCAAATAACTTTTTACTGTTTTTGGACTCAGGTACACTCGGTGGTATATCGTGAAATGACGGTCGTGGTTCCACTGCACCGGTTTCTGGTTCAACGCTCCGCCAGGTATAACGGTATCAGTTCAGGGACGTAGCAAGCAGAAATATATATATTCCTAATAAGGAAATAATCCATCAATTGCTGGAAGGAAAACATAAAAGCAAATTGAGTAAACATTTATTAATTTATAAAACTTACAATTGCATTCTTAGTAACAGCAGTTACATCATTTAATTACGATATATTTTGTACCATATATTTTGTACGATATATTTTGTATTATGTTTTAATAAATAATCTTTTTAAATTGTTCAAAATGTTGAGCTCGTTGATCATCAATAATCAATTGTATTATATTTTATACAATAAATAATGAAACAAAATTCTTGTATAATATTACAGAAACAACGCTTAATTTTATTGCAGAAATAACACATTGGCAACTTGAGCTATTTAAAAAGGATGTACAAGATAACAAATAAAAAAATCATTTTTTAAATAATTAAATTTTATTTTATCGGAAAATTTAATTATCAAAAAATGTATTTATAGATGTATATATTTCTAGAATTTTGATTCGATTGGAAAAAAAATAATGAACTTATCAACATTCTTAAAAGTGCGTCAGATTACTTGAACGTATCACTCAACAGATGAAATTACTAAGAAATATCAAAATCTATTCGACGCAGGTCAAAATATCAATATTCTATTATATATCAATATTCTATTCAAATTTTTCAAACCTTAAAACATTTTATATTTAAACTTAAAGTTCTAATTATTATAGAACTGTGAAAAATCATAATCAAAGTCAGTTGCAATATTTTTTGTTAATTGCATGTTGCACGTCGTAAATGTAATATCACAATGTAAAAATTATTTCCTTTTCTTATAATTATATAAGATATAAGTAGATATAAAAAATCAAAACAATAAAAGAGTAGATCACAAATACAAAGACGATATCGTTTAATAATTATTCTGAAAATCGAACAGGAAAATAAAAGTGTAAGGAATTAATGTTCTAATTTACCAAACACTTGATACGTGTACTAAATAATAACATTCTATTAAATTATCTTAATTTCGACAATACATTTAAAGAATAGTGTACTAAGCTGGTACATTATGTATCTAGATAATTAATTAAATAGCCATATTGTGTATATGTTTATATGCCGAAATTAAAAAATTAAAATAATTTTATAAAAAGTTACTGGTTAATACGCATATTAAATGCTCGATGTAAACAAGGTTAATGTAACTGAGGAAGTTGCTCTGTCTGCAGACGACATTATATATGTAAATTATATATGACATTATATATGTATATTGTGTTTATTAAAATAATATGCTTTTATGTCAGTAAAATTTCATGAATGAATTTATTCGATTTAAATATATCTATTTCAATACAGTTTTAACATAATGATGAATCAAGACATTGCTCTGTAATTATTTATTTTGTAAAACACATAAAGTGAGCTAGGATAAAAATTTTCGGAGAACGATTCTTAAGCAAGTATTCATTGTCTTATTATAAAATATTGTCATATATATATATATATA